TTCCCCTGTATCTAAATAATGTCTTAGATTTCGTCATCACTTGTGTTGCTCACATTCCTTAGCTCCTGGCTTCTCCTGACAACCCCGGTAACCTTGGCAAAGCAAGCACGATCACCCCCATCTGGAGAGATGAGGAACTGGAAGCCCCAAAAGTGACTTGCCCAGGGTCACAAAACCAGCTTTGTGGTAGGGCCAATACTATTGACACTGTTTGCAGGTATCTGGATTCTCACTAGATCGTGACACACGCACCCCACCCCCAGGGGGTTGTACATTTGGGGAAGAAACAGGTCTCACTTCCTGCCAAAGGTTTGGGACATGGATATGAGACCTTGCATCCAGACCATTAAAAATGATCTTAAATGACACTCGTGTAATACAACAATATTACAATATTGTAATACAACCTTATACAGATACACCTTTCTCTGCCTCTCTCTCCCTACCCCCTCTGCTCCCCGCCCCCTTTTTGGTACCAAGTATCTGTGACTTATTCAACTCTGTGTTCTATAAACCATTCTTTTCCTAGGGAGACACATTGTTTATCCTCCTATTTCAGACCAATATCAAACATACTTTGACCCCGTATCGCATACTCAGAGACAGAACTCTTCACATCCGTTATCACTTTAAAGATGTTTACTAAAGTAGTAGTTGATAAGAAATAGAAATATTTGGGTTTTGAAAGTAGAAATTAGCTTCAAGGTAAAAACTTCCTATTTTATAGAGACAGAATGATAGATTAGTACATCGAGGATAAAACGTTGTGCATTTTTGTTGGTTTTGATTTTGTTCTAATTTGCCAGCAGCTCTGGTGCACATAGGTAGCAGGTAGCATGGATATTGGTGTCAGCGGAGGTCAGGGGCCTATGGCTGAGACAGTACTCTGTGTCCTCAGCTCCTACCTTCTTGTAGGAACAAATTCAAACGAGACAACGAACAGCAGTAAAAGCAGAACAGAATTTATTTGCAAAAAAGGAATGCACTCAGATATAGTTTGAGCAGGCAACTCAGCCGGTGGAAACCTAAGCAAGTGCCATCCTCAGTTGGGGTTGGGGAAACTTATACCCCTACTGGAGTGTCCCTAAGTAAGTCTGCCCCTCCCTTATTTCTCAAAAAAAAATTTTTTTTTCCCCAAACTATTGGGCTCCTTCACCCAGGTGTTATGCCACCGGTTAGACCACATCCTGTAGGGCCTTGGAATTTCTCCTCACAGAGGGGCCTGTGCCTCCATTGTCTAATTGTGGTTTGTCACGTCTCACACGCATCCCCTCCAAGCCCAACTGCCTTACCCAGCCCTTATCTTTCCTGCTGCCTACTCTGACATTTACAGTAACATATTTGAACTACTTGGGTCTTATTTCACGTTACCCTTATCTTTCATTAACGTAGAAAATGGACTTTATATGGAGGAGAGAGAGCAGTTCCACATTTCGATTTGAGGAGTTTCTTAGAGGGGACAACTAGGAGGAAGGCGAAGACTTTTGTCATGAAGCTGCATGTCCATAGTAAGTGTCCAAGTCTAATTCAGGAGCAAATTAAATAAAAATTGGAAGACTTTATTTTTTTCACCTTAGTTTCAAGGAAGCTGGTAGTTTCTTGGAAAGAAAAGAATCCGATTTTTGTTGTTGCTAAGGGAAGTTGAGACACAATTTTGAGTCATAGGTCACCTACGTATTTTCCTCGAACTGTTGGGTGAGCCATAAATGATCAGTTCCAGGTTATATGGGTGAAGACTGTTCTTACTGTGGTGGCTTTTGGAAGCAACACATTTTTGGGAAGGGCGTACTAAAGTCTCTTTGGGATGACATTGGAAACTGCAAATCCAAGCTTAAGTCCTTCTACAGAGTAAGGATCTTTCAGGTCCCGGGAGAACAGAGCGAGAGTGGGACTCACTGCATTTAGCAATAAAGGACCTATTTGGAGGAACAAATACCACAACTGTGAATTTAGAGCCATGGTTGGACCTGGTGGTGGCTCAGAAGCCACAAGGAATCTTGGAGCGCGGACTTTTGTTCTTTGATATATTGAAGCCCAGGGCAAGTCGTTTCAGTCAGCAGTATATCAACATTTGTGTCCTCCCTGTGGAGGCATTTGGCTCTGAGGCTGTCTCTAAGTTTAGAAGCTGCAGAGGCAAGAAGATAATATCCTTTCCCTATCAGCCCCTTCTCCTCCCTGCAGACATCTGAGCGATACACAAATGAATAAATGCTAAGCTTTCCTTTTGATTTTGAAATCAATAATAAAATAGGAAGGAGCAATTAAGAAGTAGATCAATAGCTGAACCAAAATGAGCACTTGGAATTTCCCTTTACTTTTGAAAAATGTCTTATATTAGACTGTGTGTGTGTTTTTTTCTTTCCTGCTTCAGGTTTTCATTCTTTATACTGAAACAATGTAATAGTTTGAGTTCACTATCCCACAGTGATGTTGCATTGTATTTGCCCCAAATCATCTTTATTGGGGTTTCTCTTTCATCATGCCTTTTATGTTTTTAATTCAATGGTTGACTTTATATGTGGTCAAAGGTTCCTAGGTACATACCCTCTTGCAGTGCGTACTCCTTCTCTGGGCCTGCAGAAATCTGCTTTTTACCAATTCATCTTCAAGTTATCTTTCAGGGAGGCTAGAACAAGGTTTTCAGGACTCTGCAGATTTCAAGATAATTTTAGTAGTAATTATAAAAACAAAGTGTTAAACAAGATTGGAGTTCATTTTTTTAAAAAAGTGGAGGTATTCTTAAGGGAGAACTGTAAAAATTTTCAATCAAGGACTCTCAAATTGAAAACTTCAGTTTTTTTTGTTTGTTTGTTCGTTTTATTTTGCTTTAAACTCATAGACAACCCAGCCACTGTGGCTCAGGGTTGAGTGTTGACCTGTGAACCAGGAGGTCACGGTTTGATTCCGTGGTCAGGGCACATGCTCGGGTTGCAGGCTCCATCCCCAGTGAGGGTCCTGCAGGAGGCAGCTGATCCATGATTCTCTCTCATCATTGATGTTTCTATCCCCCTCTCCCTCTCCCTTCCTCTCTGAAATCAATAAAACTATATTAAGAAAGAACACTCATAGTCATAGACAACAGTATGGTGATTACCAGAGGGAAAGGGGATGGGGGAGAAAAGAGAGGGTAAAGGGGAATAAATGGTGAGGAGGGAAGGAGACTTGACTTGGGGTGGTCAACACACAATACAATATGCAGGTGATGTATTATAGAATTGTACACCTGAAATTCATATAATTTTATTAACTAATGCCAACCCAATAACTTCAATTAAAAAACATTTAGAATACATTTGGTTGCATGTTGTGAGATAATGTATAGTGGATAGTCAATTATGCTAATACTATTTATTAAATAATTCATTCTTTCTGAATGATTTAAAATAACATTTTAACATTTTAATTTATTGTTTGATTTTGAGAGAGAGAGAGAAACATTTAGTTGTTGTTCCACTTATTTATACATCCATAGATTGATTCTTATATGTGCCCTGACCAGGGATCACAACCTTAGCATATTGGGATAATGCTCTAACCAGCGGAGCTACCTGGCCAGGGCAAAATGATATTTTTATTAGTTGTTATATTCTTCTTATACTTATGTATGTTGCTTGACTTTATTCTGTTTAATTGATCCATTTTACTTTTTTATTTTTTTGGACTCAGGTGCCCACAATTACTAATGCCCATGTTTATTTTCTCTAAGTCTGGTCATTTAATACGTGTGCAAGGCATGTGTTAATTTGAATTTAACACAAACGTGGCCTGATTGTTGTCCTGTAGATTTGCGTATCTAGATTACCTGGTGTCTGAAGGTCAGCCCCTATTGATGTGATAAACAAGGTGATGTTTGTAAAGGGGGCTGTCCCGTGGCCTTGCACCATAGCAGGTGCTCAGTGGTTATTAGTTGTTTTTTTTTTTTTACTTTCTTAGCAGTGAAGTGATAGTGGAAGGTTTTTTTTTTAAGTGGCAAAATTATAATCTAGGGTTAAATGGGTTGACTAAGACTCTAATTTTTTTCTCTGAGTAGATTTTATGTTCATATATGCAGATG